ACCCACATTCACTCCGTTTGTGGGAGGATATATATTTTGATCTCAGCCTCTATCCCGTTCTTTACACTACTGACAGACGAACCCGCAGAACCCGCAGTCGAACCTCTAGAGCCTTAGATTCTGGGATACTAACAGGAAAGACGCGGCTAACTTTGCGATATACACAGGCTCACTTCTCCATCCAGCAGCAACAATCACATCATGTCTGACAAAGACCTCGATTGTAGCTTTGCCGAGGATACTCTCAGCAAAGCGGGTGGCACGATGCCTATCGACACCTTGCTTCAACCTCCTACTATCCAGTCTCATTCGGGCAACGCCCATTCTAATTTCAACGAGAACCCCCCGGCAAGCCCGAGCCTCCACCTGAAGCCTATATGTCGCCCCAAGCCTGCCACCTCTGCATGCCTCGACAAAAATCTCGTTGAAGCCAATGGCCTCTACTTCCAGAATATGGCTGACGCAGAGGCTGTCATGAACAACGTTCAGTGGCTTGCACCAGTATTCGACAGCACTATCCCACAGACTGACAAAGACCATCAGAATGTAGTCAGGAAGCTCGTGTCGGCTTTCAAAGACATGTCCATGGCTAAGGATACTGCAGAGAACGCTTACCGCAAACGGTTAACCCCAGGCGAAGCGTCGTACTACCAGGATTGGGCAATCGAGGCATGTGCTTGGGATGTCGTTGTGAGTCAACGATTGTGAAACTATATAGAAGTCTTACTGATCATGCCGCGTAGCGGATGGCCAAATCTATACACACCGATGGCTTCAGGGTTCCGATTTACGACAAGAACCTGGTCAATCACATCGGTCAAACTCAGGAGTGGACTTTTGGGGAGCGCATCGAATGGATCTGCACTGTTCTCAGGGTATGATACTCGTTTGTGTACGACAAACGGCATGCTGACTGTTACTATAGACATCCAAGAACGTCGCTGCTAACCTCATGGTATGTTCGCACTGGTCTATATAGTGCTGACCCAAGTTGCTAATGCCATTATAGAAGAACGAAAAGGCATGGAACATCATCGGTGCACCTCATAAGATGTACCAGAGCACATTGACCAATACCGTTGCCAACGCCAACCGCGGAGCATGGGTCAAGAGCGGCCGTCAAGCAGACACTGAGCATCAAGCTCGTGTCAGCAAGCGTAGGAAGACGATCAATTCCTCGGACGACCAGAAGGATGGCATCGGCAATGCTTCTGACACGGGCAACGGAGCCTCGAAGCCACAGAGCGACGCAGTCACTCAGCTCGGTAAGCACAATGGCCATTAAAATTATACTGATTACTATATCTAACGATTCTGCCAACCGCTCAGCTGAGTATAGGAAGCTCATGTATACACCTGTCACTCCTCCCCCACCATCGAACGACGCGATGACCACTCCACAGACACTGGTCTCTTCTCCCCCGTTGAACGACGCGACGACCCCTACTCCACCGGCACCAATCCGCTCTTCAGATCGTTCATTCTCGTCCTTCACAGACTACGAACGTGACGCCGAGATCATTGCCCTCATGCATGGACCACTGCCAAAGGGCGACGACGAAGAGAAGCGCGGCACCAAGCGACGGTACAAAAAAACCACCATCAACAAGAACGACATCGTTGAGGGATCCAGCAGTGCAAAGAATACGTCCAGCAACACTATCAACAAGAACGACATTGTTGAGGAGGCTGCCGGTACGAAGAATACTTTCGGCAGGGTATATAAGAAATTAGCTACCTTTCCTCTCGCTTCCCGTACGAAAGATGGGTCCGGCTCCGCAAGTTCGCACGCAGATACCTCTTCCAACAACGAGGGCAGCTCATCTTAGCTCAGCGATCGAGACGATGGTTGCTATGACGATTGCAAGGACGTTGGCTTCACTGCGTGGTGCTCACTGAGCAACACAGCTGGCTCACTAGTTTGATACTGACGCATGAGCGTCGCTTCAGCACACATACTTGCATGGATTGTCAGAGGGTACATAGAAGGTTGGGGCTTGCTAGTTGGGCGCTTTGACGTCCTGGATTCTTACGAGAATGCGTGCGTGCGACTCATGGGTTAGTAGATCTACTTGCATGAGTCGCAGGCCTACGGTTGAATGCTCCACTACTTCCATAGCATCGGCACCTATAGTGCACATCATTACCTGATGCCCAGTAGCATGTTTACACATTGCTCGAGTCTAGGATAGAATATACTGGACAGTCTAACAAATTGCCATGTAAAAAGCTTATGCGATTCCCCTTCTTGTTCTCCTTGTGCTTCGCGGTCCAATCATGCCACCCTCTCCCTTTACTCCCTGCGTCTTGAGGCTAGCAACGAGAATCTCGACAGCGTTGAACGAGTCAATCGGACCCAGACCCTCCGTCTTTCCGTCGAGCATCGCCGTTGCAGCCCGACTAACAATAGCTTTTGCTTCCAGACTGACTTCTGGCAGTATCTCCGCCGTCGCACCCAACCACCTCGCTAACAGACCCTTGAACGAGACCTGATCGGTATTACAGGCCTCCTCTCCCTCTTTACCCTCACACTTTTCCTCCCACAGGGCCCCAGTCTCGTGATTAACAAACGTGCGGTTTGCGGATTGGATAAAGCCTCTTGTCCTCTGGACCCATTTTGCATCGCCAGTCTGTACCGCCATGACTGCGCTGCCGTACATGTACACGCCGACGTTGTAACTCCACTTGTTGTGGTTCAGATCCGCACATCCATTCTTCTCGTCGGTGCCGTCAAATACGTCGAACTGATCGCTCACAAGCCCCACATGCAGGCTCCAATCGTACACCTTCTCTGCCCACTCTTGAGCTTCCTTGGCGGCAGTTTCGTTGGTAGCTGCCGATAGTTTTCCCAGGCGTGCAGCAAGTTGGAACATCAGGCCGTTGGAAATGCTGTTTTTGTAAAAGAAGCCATCGTCGCCGTCGCCCTTTGCAATCTTCCAGCCTAGACCGCCTTTGCATCCTGCTGCTCCCTTCTTCTCGTTACCCCATCGTTCTCTCTGCTGCGCAAAGACGTTGCGCGCAAGGTCGATCCATGGTACACTTCCTGGGGCCTCGGGGAATTTGAGCTCAGCTGCCGTGGCAGCAGCAAGGGCCCACCATGTCTGGTCGTCGTTACCGGTGGCATCGATGGTGAGGAAGTCATTGGTTGGTGTCGCTTGGCTGAGAATGGTTTGTTCGAGTAGTGGTTCATATTGGCGGTCTCCGGTCACATCGGTATATGTAAGCAGCGCATCGACGGCACAGCCAGATTGCCACCACCAAAATGGTTGGGGAAACAAAGCGAGATTTGGGTTGGGAAAGCTGGCTTTGAGGGATCCTGCGACACGTGGGGCTGTAGCGAGTAATGTGGCAGGCGCTGGTGCTGGTGGTTGAGAAGCAATCGCTGCGGATTGAAGAACGACGGTTATAGCGTTGGCAAAATTGGGTGGTATCATATTGGTCAGAATAATAACAAAAAAACAATAAAAAAATGATTGTAGGTAAATTTCGTGAAAAGGTAAGGAACGAGGTTGCAGCAACGACCTTGCGCAGTGAAATGAATGTAGTGTGGCACGCAGTACCAAAGGCTTCAAAGGAATGTGAAGTAAAGAACGGAAAACGTCGAAAACGACGAGGCAGAGGCCGTTAAGAAAAACGAGTGATTCGCAAACCAAGACAAGTGGAAGGAAGGACGGAGCGAGTGGTAGGACCCAGTCAAATCATTGCCACAGAAGGATTCGACTCAGCCTACTGATACTAAGCCACACCACTGCATATCTCCTTTTTCATGGCACGGATTCTAGAATTCGGTTCGACATCATAGGCCATCCACTTAAATTTGAACGCGTCGTACTGCTAATTAGCACTGTTGAGTTGTCTCCACCCACACATCCCACTTTATGGCCGAAGGCTGTGGCCAGCTCTTATCGCCAAATCAATGCACACGCATGCGTTGTGCAACAAGAGATTTTCCCATCTTCCTATTCGCATATCCGTATCTTTCGCCCACGTTGCCGAGCGTATACCCCTGATTTTCAGGTAGCGACCCAGTTTTATGTCGTTAGATCCCTGTACGGCCGAGCCAAATCCTGAAACACGCCATGCCATGTACCCGCTGAGGCGTGATTGGCTGCATGTGCAAAATTCCTGAGGTGTCCAACGGTATCCAAATAAAGAAACCTCTCCGATTTGGACGGACGAAACCGTTGAAAGCCAAATCAAGATTGTGTGTTTATGCTGAGTTGCTGACATGTGTATGCTCCGGCAGGGCGTGGTAGGGTGTTGTTAATGTGTGCAAGTGGTGATGGCAAACCATGTACACAATCAGAATTCGCGATGCGCTTTATGATTGCATTGATCTACGACCGTATGAATATGTCGATCGTCATATGTACGTAGAGGTTTCTGGAGTGACGAGGGCAGATATAATACTTCTGGCCGGTTATTCATAGCGCAGGAACGCGACACCCTTGCTCTTATCGATAACTTGTAACCCACGCGTTCTATTAGCGGGATTGTTGTTTAAGCAGATGAGTTCCTGGTGTCCTCGTGTTTGCGCATTGTTTCGGTGGATTGATTCGCGTGTAGTTGGCCACGGACCAAACCGCTGAAGATTGTTAGCACTGCTCCATGTTCCGATCAATACGCCATACCATCGCGCCTATCGAACACTGTTTCTTCCATCACAACTTTGTTCTGTGAGCCTCGCAGTTCGATGCGTTACGGGAGCTTCGCAAAGCATTGTCGCGTTCCCATAATTTGCACGTTAGGCATCTCCACTCTGCCCTTATGCTTTTCTCCTCCTCTTACATCCGAGCATGGAAGTAAATGTCGCTGTAACTGACTGATTGAAACCGATTGTTAATGGAATAGCTGCAGTGGGTAGTAATGGGTGTGCGACAAGTGGACGAGACGTGTCATCTAAACCGAGCCAGGCGCCATGGCATCGTGGCACGGTTAAAGGGCCGAGATGAATAACATGTAGTCACCATCTGCCGTGCCGAGGGTCCAACTCCACGGTCATGGCACGGGAAGGCGTAAGCTCCGAGGATGCTACACTGAGAAAACAAAAGCAACTTGGTGAGAGCAGCTTGGCTGATAAGATAAGAACTATGTCGTCATCGTGCTACTGAACATCCTCAGCTTCAAGCCATCACCTTCAGACCTGGCAACTTGAAAAAGAGACAGATTTACCCGCATGTAGCCTCTTCCCGAGTATCTCAAAGACTACGTGCCACACTACACTATGACTAGTTGCGCAATCTTCCACAGCATGGTACCTTCAGATCTATAATAGATCTGGCTCCCGACACGATCCGGCGGTTAGCCATTAAGCGGAAAATCTACAAGCCCCCCTCTCCAAAAACAACTAAGCGCGATCGCATCGAATCTACAATTTGCACGATCATCTTGCTTCGATCGGATTATGCGGGGAACACCCCCTCTATGCGGCTGCTGGCTTACAACCACGCACGAGTAACACCGATGGAGCCAATGGAGCTCTCATAATGACGTCGCGGAGCATGCATGTTGGACCAGGAAGTAGTTCCCAACAAATATGATTTAAAAAGGACGGGTGGAGGAGGGTATTTGGGAACTGGAATTAACTAGTTGAGTTTGTACACTGCGCTTCCAACGTGCGAAATTGATTCAACCTTTCCTTGACAAACATGCCTTCCATGAACTCTACCGTACGTGCTTTCCGCTGAGAAAGCCAACCAAGATACATGTCTCGTAAGAGAAAGGGTCTAACAATAGTGCCAGGTCTTCCACGCATATGCGTATGGCACGGCATTCTGGTACGGCCTGCGTGGCTTGTGTCGTGTATACGACCCCATAATGGTCATCGGATGTACGTATACAAACCCCCTTTCAACCAGAAAACCTCCTCCAATCCACACCAAACTAACAATAATGTCCAAGGGTTCCGTCCCCCCTCGCAACTGAACCTCGCACCCAACGACCTCGAAACATACAACGTGCGCAACGACGGCTGGTGCCTCATCACACTCGCTCTAGTCCTCATTTCCCTCACCAACGCCGTACCGTTTACCGCGGAGTCGGCGAAGAAGTTTTCGTCGGTGCCGTATGCTAAAGCCATTGTCGCGGCGACGATCTTTCACCACGTCGCGACGGGTATCGGTGCGTACCAGCATTATAAGTTGCCGAGTCATTACAACACCAGCATGGGCATTGGCGTTTGGGGCAACATTTGGTTGTCACTTACTGGGTTGTTTACGCTGGCTTTGCTGCAGAGCGATGCGGGAGATATGTCTGTTAAGCAGGCTGCGCAGAAAGTGAAATAAGTGCGCCGGTGCTTTTGGTGGATATCTACCTTTGGGAGACCCTCAAGTTGGAGAGGCAGTAGAGTTAAAAGTCGGTGATTGGAATGTAAAGCAGTGGCATGGTAGCCTTTCACTGCGGCTAGGGAAGAAGAGTAAGAGAGAGTACGGGGTTGTACAGCTAGTTGCTCTAATAACAAAGTCTGAATCGCATAACCAGATATAACATATCAACATTAATATGCAAAAAAGAACATATCTGCACTTCATCTCCTCCCCACACCCTCTCACACACACCCCAGCAACTCCCCACACTCCTCCACATACCCCCTAAACTTCCACCCCTCCCTCTTCATACCACACGGCGTACAATACCCATCATAACCCTGATACACCATCTGCAGCCTACACCTCGCCGACTGGCGATACGGCACAACGCCCACCTGACCGAAATAGTACGGCTCGTTAATCCGGTTCAGCGCCCTGCGCACATCGCGGCATGGTTGGGCTTGGATGTAGTTGTGGTGGTTGCAGTGGAGCCAGTATTTGTCAATGTCTTTGCACATTGTTTTCTTTTCTTTTTTCTTTAGTGGTATCTAACTTTTGAATTCTGTCATATTGGTTTCTCAAATGTCTGGGATTTCGGTGAAGGGGGGCAAGATTTTGGTGTGGCCCTTGGAGAGAATAAAGTAAAAGTGTGGGGTCAACTTGGATCTATATATATATAGGTGAATCTTTTTTTTTGGAGGTAAAAATCATTTTTTCCCTCTTTTCCCACATTTATAAGCATTAGGGGAGATGCAATGGAAGCGATTTGTTCCGGGGCAAATTGGTCTTCTTGCATGGTTGTGTAGCATTAGGATGCGAAAATCGTTGGTCGTGGGGAAGAGGGAGCGCTCAGGCCAATCGCTGCTACTATCATGTTATCTCTCTCCAAATCTTTGGAAAAAAAGGGGAGAGATGCCTCGTACGCCAGACCCCCCCCCGCCCCCCTGTCTAGATGGTGGGCTGTATCCGTACTGAGCAGTGTATGGCTTTGGCGGATCAGATCCGCAACTTGAGTTTCGCGGCAGTGGCTGAGAAGATATAGCGCATACGTATTTCTGTAACGTCGAGACACGTAATGACAAGGCTTGAGGTTGTATTTTGGGATACGGGAACTATTTTACTCAGCCCCTTGTTGGAAAGCGAATCAAATACGGTAGGACGTTGCACAAGTACGGGTAGAATTGTGGAAATAGGGCTGACTAGGCTTACTTGGATTGATATTCCGGGAATTGGGTTTGATGAACGGCAATCTTTTCCATCGGTACAGTAGGTAGCGATGTCCCGGTGCCCCGTTGGGCTAGGGATGTTGGTATTGGAAGTCACATTCGTGACGACGATGTTTGCTGCAGGATACTAATTGTGTATCAATAACGTGACCAGCTCTCGGGCTATGTCCCGATGGGCCAGAACGAGAAGATCAACATAGCGATACAATGGCACCTGGTGACCGTTTGCCTGAAAAGGTTCTTTAGCTGGTACTAAATGTTACACCGGCACTTTCTGTAGTAGCGCACAAACAGGAAGTATCCCTAGATCAAAGGATGTGCTGATGTAGGATATAGATCAGACCACCTACAGTGAACTTCTTGATGAATCTTGTACTTTTCAGGATTTACGGTCCCAATCTCTGGAGATCCCTATTCTCAGATCATGACAACTGATGAGTAGTCAGAAAATTATGTACGATGTGGAATCAAGAAGTACACTTTTCTTTATGGACACTGCTATGGACTGCCTTAGTCATTATATCACAGATGTAAGATCGATATGTTATACGTCTCAGTTATAGCAGAAGTCTGTATCGAGTAAGTTCCCGCGCAGTAGTAGACCTATGAAGTGGTCTACGCCTGAGTACTAGTGTGAATATCGCTGTGAGCAGCTTAGTCACATGACTAGGGACACGGGTTTGCGAGGAATTCACTATCTACAAAGACTATGACTATAGTCCTTGAGTAATACATTCACATCACACAATGAGAAAGGAAAAAGTGCACAGCATTCAATTTGAGTAAAAAAAAGATTGATTCGAGTCCTTGAGGAGCTCTTCATGGAATGGCCATGTTGGGGTATTCTTTCTAAAAATGCTAAAATCAAAAACGCCAATGGATGTATGCAAGGGGGTATCGTCCGTATCCATATCCCAGAACCGAAAGAAAGAAAACAAAAACACGCCAACGCTATGTGAAAAATCAAAGGGAGCATGATTCGCCTGTGCATCGTTGATCGTGCGTCATCATCGTACTCGTTTGTACCAGTGGCCTGCCACAGGAGACAAGGTTTTTGGGGAGTATACAAAGGAAAGACATGAAGACGACATGAAAAAAAGGAAAGTTATAGTCGTTGAAAAAATGAATGGGGCTTGTTCCTAAATCAATCCGCGGAACTTGGCACCGTTCTTGTGATAGATGCTGCGGACCGACGCCGGAGGAGTAGTGATGACTGGCGCAATAGGCTGAGTGGCAGCAGGTGCGGTGACAGTGACCATGACGGTGGTTGTGACGACGGAAACGCCGTCGTTGCCAGACTGGGAAGGGGTGGGCACGACACCAGGAGGGGCACTGAAGGTTGGGATCGCAACCGCAGATGTAGTTGGAATGGCGGAGCGAGTGCTGTTGGAGAAGGGTGGTCCACCAGTAGGAATAGAAGGAAGAGCGGTGCCGGTCGCAGAAGGAATGCCACCATCAGAGTCGCCTCCTCCGGAAAGAAGAGAGGTAACAGGGCCCATCTCGCGCTTCAACGGCATCTCATTGTAAAGTGCAGTTCGCGCACTCCAGTCGCTGACAGCAGTGCTGACAGCATCCTGCTGGCCCATGGCGTATTCAGACATGTCAGCGTAGTCAAGAGCCTGCATTGCGACTTTGGGAGATGCAACGTCGACATCGATGCAGGTGCTGTAGTATTCATCCTTGCCCTTGTCGAGACCTGGTGTCTTTCCAGGAAGAGAAGTCCACTGCCACACCCAGTACAAAGTGTAGGCCTTGTCAAGCTCGACGTCTTCTGGGAGCTTCACGTCTGTTTCGCAGTACATGACTGAGTTGGCAGGGCCAGTCTCTGGTGTGTTGGCCATGTAGGCGGGGTCGGCTACCTTGCGTTCCATGGCGACGGGGGTCTCGTTGTTCAAGTAGCAGCGGCCATCATCGTAGTCGTTCATGGCTAGCAAAACTCCGCGCTTGTCACCACCCTGACCATCCTGGGTCCACTGAAGGACATCGAAAAGCTTCTCGTCGGTCTTTGGCTCTTTTGTACCATAGACGTAGACGGTGCCGCCTTTTTCTGGCTTTTCGGGGTTGTTTTGTGGAAGTGTGACGTGACCGTTCTCCTGGTAGCGGATGGCGACGAAGCCACCAGGCACAGTCTTGAGGCGTGGGAACTTGTCCGAGGATTGTTTTTGCTCTCGCTGCGTTGGTGCACAGAGTAGTTGGTCGGCGTCGATGAAGACCTTGCCCTCGGTATTGGACTCGGGCATCCTCCAGGTCATGGAGTTGTCTGTATCCTTCCCATCGGGGCCTTTCTGACCCCGATCGACCATGCCTCGCGGATAGCCATAGGCGCCCACGTATTTGCCTTTGTCGTCGATGTTGCGGAGCTGCTCTCCCCAACTGTGGGAGTGGACTAGGGGAAAAGCGGCGAGTGCCGCAACGATGGTATTCCGTACAGAAGGCATTGTGATATGTATGTATGTGTGTGTGGTGGAAGTTACTCAGTGATTGTGTCTGGAGAAAACAAAGAGCTTGTAGAATGAGAAGGTTTCGTGGGAAGAAATGCAGGGGTGATATAAGTGAAGTGGGATTTGGTACGTGATGGAACAATGTGTAAGGTCATGTGCTTTGTAGACGTCTTCACCTCTGGAGCAACAGTGTTGCTATTGTTCAATAAAAAGCCGTGTCGTGAATTCCGCACAGCGTTTTCCAGACAGGCAGAGCAAGGAAATAAAAAACAGAGAAAAAAATAGACAAGAGAAGTGAAGTGAAGATACAACACAGGAGGGGTGTGTGAGAAGCGATTAGGTTCGCGCAACCATGTACCTTTATTCCAGGCGGGCAATGTGGTCAAACATGGTTCAAAATCTCCGACCCAAAGGGACAGAAGCGATCAGAGCCAATGGAGAAGGAGACATGTGAGGGATCGAAACAAGGCGCCACCGCACGCGATGCTGCAGACAACATTCTGTGCCTGCAGCCGAAGATGTTTGGGTCTTGGGACAGCGTTTCAACGCCGACCTCCACTACTATAGCCGCCAGCCATGGGTTTACTGGTCCCACCGCGCAACTGGCGGCGTAGCGCGCACACCTGGCAGCATTGGGCACAGATTATTTTTTTTTGCGGCGCAAGGGCCAGACTCTTGTGCTGAGATGAGTAGTTCGTGACCAGGCGGCTAGACTAGGCGTGCATCCGATACGTTAAGAGGAGTAATTAAGGTATTGGAGGGCAAGGCGAGCCGTTGATCTACAACACGAACACGGCAGCTAGCCTTTTGTCCAGTTGCCGTGCCGAATTGCGGGTCTGTCCGGGGTCAAGTTGCACAGGGAAATAACCAAGGGCGTGCGAGCCGCCCGCAGCGTCAGAGAGTGCGTTGGGGGATGGATGCAGCGGCCAGGACGGTACGACGAGAAGGACAGCGACGCGTAGGTGTGCAGCATGAATATGGGGACTGGGTACACGCAAGTGTACCGGAGCGAGGCTTGGGCGATCCGACGATAGGTGAATGCGAGCCCGATACAGCGCATCGAGAAGGATGGGATCTGGTGGCAGTGGTGGGTGGGGCGAGGTTTGGTAGCAGTGCTCAGGCTGCGTTTCAGGCCGGCCGGCTTGCGGGACTTGATTGGCTCTGCGGCTCACGCTACGCCGCAGCCTAACACGTGAGTGCGCCCGTATGATTGGCCCGTAGCGCCCCAGCATGCCATGCTACTATTTTTCTTCTTCGTTGTCGTCTTCTGCATTCTATGCGACCACTTTGACGCCCATCTATTTTCCGAGATTAGCACCCGAGATTCAGGGCCCCAAGTATAGGCACTTGGCTACTAAGGCGCGCGTGGCACCCGCTCGGCATCCCAGGTCACGCGCACCCAAGAAATGAGCAATTCACCCCATCGTCCAAGGCCAGCCACCAAAACCGACTTCTTATCGATAGCCACTGTTTCACGGATCAGCATCGGCACTTGGGGCCCAGGCCACCCCCCGCCTGTCAGCAGAACCGGCAGATTACAGGAAGTCGTCTCGAGGCTAACCACGTCGGACTACGTCCGTAGTCTTTATTGTGTAGTGGCGACTCAAACCCGGAACGCTTGAGGACATGCGTTTCAGTGGCCGAAGAGTCGCACTCAATCCTACCAGCACCATTACCAAACTCAAATCCTTCCATGGAGGGGCTCATAATATAATATGGCAATCTGCGTATACATGGCGTTTCTTAGACTGATTCAGAAGAAGCAGTGGGTATTCCGCTTGCTCTTACGCATCGTCCACTGAGATCACCTCATACAAAGTGGTTGAATTGAGAACAGGGAAGCAGTGACTTTGTTTTTCCCTGCCCTTCTCCCGCCAGTAGTCGAGTAATCCGGTTCGAATGGTTCTGGACTACACATAGATGCGCTAACATACTACCTGAAACACTTTGACCCAACCAATTTCTACACCTACCGAGTCTACATGCACACTGCATCATTTTTTTTAAAAAATACCGCAGCTGAAGTCCGCACGTGGGCATGAGTTTAGGGGTATGCAGAAATAGTCTGCATAAATTTGCGCACCTGACTATCCATGTGTTGGACTTTGTCCTGTAGTGAGTTTTACCAGTTGAAGGGGCTACCATCATCTGCTACACCAAGATCTCTCTTGGCAGATTCACTGCGAGGGGCTTCTTTCGCCCCTCCCAGGTTCCAAGCTATGCATCCAAGCCACATGTAGCAGGGTGGAATGACGTCTACGCAGTGAGACATTATTGCTGTTTCGATACTGGTACGGATATCAAACCGTGAGATAGGTACCATGGTGTTGTTGAGACAGACTGAGTGGAACAGCACTTGCCATTTCAGCACTTGTCATCTCAGCACTTGCCATGTTCTTGGGGGTCCGAAATAGCCGGATGAAAACTGCCACTACCACAATAGTGTAACTATGCAATAATGCTAATATTACTTGCTCGTTATATATTGGAAACATATAGTTGAATAGAACTCGACTTAATAAGAATACTTAATACTTTACAAATTTCACAGAAGTCTACATTAGTAATCAAGGCTGTAATCTGGATTGATGTTGGACATAGTGATTATCCCGCTATTGCGGTTCCCTGAGAGCAATCTCCCTTATACTTTCCATTTCCCAAATACTGTGATTCTCAGCAACGGAGAGAGAAGTGACAGTGAAGTATCGACAATCGCAGTCAACATGAACAAACGAGTCTTCAACACTGCATTTTGCATGTTACATCCCCCCATTCTCGTAACTCACAGCTACATCCCTTTCAATGAGTACATGCAGAAGCAACCGTTTCCTCTACAAACCTCATCATTGACCCAGAAAAAAATCCATCACACATGTCCCTTCTGTGAACTCCATCAACACCATCACATATTAACCTCCTCCATATAAAAAAAAACTCCGCTCCTCTCCCCAAAATATGATCCTTACCATACAAAACTCACTACTAACCCCAGACCCACTTACCAAGCACAGAAATCAGAACAAACCAAACCCACCAAGTCAAAAAAAAATGGCCGTAGACCTATCCCGCCCGACAGACTGCCAATGCAGAGTCGTCCAAGACATCTGGACCTGCCAACACACCCGCGAGGTCTACTCGCAAACCTGCTACATGGTGTCGCACTGGCCATCTCGCTGGGTCACGTTTTTGACCCATCAGACGTTTTGCCCGGAGTGCTTGGCGCGAATTGCGAGGGCGGCACGGGAGTTGGAGGAGAGGGGTAGGGAGGATGAGGAGCGGTAGATTCTAGAGAGGTGTGCTTATGGGTAGTAGAAGAGGGGAGGGGGGAGGGGGGCATGTATTAGTAGGTATTAGGAAAGACCGGGGGGGGGGGGGTTTTTGTTGGAGAAAGGAAGGAAAAGGGGGAAAAGGCCATGATTAGATATGTTTAAAAGGATTATAAAAAAAAAGATGGGTAAACCACTTTCAATCCTGCATATCCTCATCTTCGTCTTCGTCTTCATCCTCGTCATCATCCGTCTGCGCATCATCCTGCTCCCCATCCTCCAATCCCGCTGTATTTCTCACTTCAACAAGTCCAAAGACTTCATCCGGCAAGCCGTCCCAGCCTACCTCCCTCTTCACGGTGATGAGGCCAAATTCGCATACGCCATTGAACCCACCATCACGGCGACTCTTGCCGAAAAAGCCCACGACGATTTCATCTTGGGCGGGTTTAACCTCGATGATTTCACTTTCATCTTCCGTATTGAGTTCACCCTTGCTGTCTCCATTCGACAAATGCACGCGGACGCCATCGTCGGGGTTAACTTGAATAGAGGTAATTTCGACGCCCTCAGGTAGCCTTATCTTTTCGGAGGCGTGGCCGCCGAAATGGTGGGTGGAACCGTACGTTCGCATTGGACCCCAGTGAGACACATGGCCGTCCGCGTACTTGACTACACCGCCGTCCCAGAGACAGCCGACGCGCAGGTCAATCGACACGGCGCGGTGCAACTTCCCGTCTGCGCCGCGTTCGCGGAGGAGCTGCGCCCATTCGTAGGGGTCGCGCGGACGGTAACGGTCGGAGGAGTCGGAGGAAGTGTATGCGAGGTGTTTGCGGAGGACGATGCTGGAGCCGGGGATGCGGATGAAGGATTTGCTGGCGAGGAGTTTCCACACGTTTGCTGTGGTGGTTTCGCGGCCGTTGGAGGCGAGGATGCGGAGAGCGAGGGGCGAGGTGCGGGTGAAGCGCTCGTCGAGTTCTGACTCGGTGAATTGCATGGTTGTGGGGGCGTTGTTGAGCCATTCTTCGGGCTGTGAGTGCTCGGTGTTGTTGAAGGTTATGCGTGCGATGCCGCTGGGTGAGTTGATGTGGAGGATTGCGGGACCACCTTCGTCATTGTGAGTTATGCTCACGTCTGGCCTTGCTTTGCGAGTGGTTTCGGGGAGGATGGGGTCGGTTGGGAGGCGGAAATGGGGGAGCATGCGGAAGGAGAGTGCATCTGCTAGGTCCCAGCGTGCGTTGTTGGGTGTGTTTTCCGGGTCAACGACTACGCCTTCTTGCTTCAGGTAGCGCGAGTATGCGGTTTGAGAGACAAAGTTCTTGACCCAGTCTTGGGCGTAGCCTCGCTCCATAATACCAGGGCGATGCGGCGAGCCGAATGCATGACCGACTTCATGCATGTGAGCACCCTGTCCAATTGCACAGGCTTCCCATAAGGTAGTACACTGTCCGTTGTCGTTACCCACCTTTTCTCCAGGCTTGCGGGTGTCGGTCAAACAGCTGGTAACTTCTTCTAGAAAGCGTGGCCAAGAGTAGGTCAAGTGGCTTCCAAATATGCCCAATGATATACCACGCTGATCATGGCAACCAAGGGCGGCGTGTCCGAGAATAAGATCCTTGGACTTGCTGTAGTGAGAGTCTAAGATCAGGCCAGCTACTATAGGCTGAGCATCAGGAACGAACGGACCTCCAGCATCTGTCAACGCTTCCTTGAAATAGTCGAAAACGGCGCCCTTGGTGCGAGCTCTTTCATTCTGCTGTGCGATGTTCTCGTCGCGAATCTCCTTGACTGTCTTGGAGGAGCGGATGATGTGAATCTTGGCTGTAGACCGTATAGCATCGTCCTGTGCGAGAGTTTGGCCAATGCGCGCATTGGTAAACTCCCGACTAACAGTGTCTGCAGTCCATTCCTCCTCTAATCTAAAGGAGCGCCTTCCAATACCTTTTTGTCTCAAATCTTCGGCAGTCATGGCTTGCCACATGTACGCAGTCATACGAAGCTTGGCAATGGCAGCATCCAAGTCCGAATGTGCTGAAGATACACCAGCAGCCTTGTTAGGAGGACAATCCATGAGACACGGCGAGTCAGAAGCAACCATGATTGCGAGGTGGAGAGGTGGATACTGCATCAGAGGCCAGTAATTGACGTTCGTCTCAACAGTATGTTCGATGCAGTCGTTACAGATGTAGGCGAATTCGAGCCTGTTCAATCCTGGCGAGAGCATGACCATGGCCTTGAAATGGCCGCCTGCTAGAGGCCATGTCTGCTCTGGGAAGTTTTCGGATTTGTTTGCTGCTTTGGTAGTCACGTGGATGTAACTTCCTTCAGCGGCTTCGAAGCCATACGTTCCGGTGACAAGAAGGCAGCGCTAGGGAATGTGTTAGTAAGTTCAACTAATATAGCAACAGATATCGCACTTGATGAATTGTCTCTCCATCTTCAAGGTTGGTGATTTTAAGAGGACTTGTGATTGGTGCCATAATGACGATGGGCAGAGGCTATGTGATGAGGTGAAGTCAATTGAGTGGAAATATCAAGGAGATGCTGAAAAGGCTGGTTGATTGATTTTGGAGGAAATGAATGTTTTGTTAACTTCAAGTCTTGCGTTATCCTCCTTATATCTTTCCAGGCGCTCTGGAGGAGTTGATACCCCTTGCGCAAGTATTCAGGCAGCTGTCCAGATTGAGACTAGTTCCAACGATGCTGCCTGTTGTGCATCCGCTTGCGAACTTGCACCAGGCGCCATCCGGTCCGCGATCAATCCGTAACGGCTCGCGATATTAAACATCTCTTCTGGTTCGACTTGCTGCCTACAATACTACAAGGGACATGATGGTGCTGAATACTTCCTTGGAATGAAGCTGTTATTCCCGGGCTGCGTCCGTGCTAGATGAGTGATATGCGTGCACTCGGTTTCGACATTGATGTCCAGAAGTTCAATACAGGCGACCGAGTTTATCAAAATGAATAGCTTGATTGGAGTGAAGTGGCAGTCATTGTTGATGACGAGCGAAGCTGCGCGCGTGGCTGGAGATGGTGGAATGGCAGGATAATGTGTTTACATCTTCGAGTGGAGTGTGCACAATGTCCATCTGCGCGTCGCCTATCGGTGAGTTCATCAATGTAGGTCTGAGGAGCGAATACGATATTCAAGCCTTTTGGCCTGGTCGGAGTCGGCGCGATTGTTGCAGCGATCCAGACGCGTGGCGCCAGATCAATCAGGGTCTTCGCCTATCTTGAAAATGTGGACCGTGCGCCGATCACCAGAATCTAGACACAACGGCGTTTTCGCCATCCCACATTCTCTCGTCTTGTGTCAAACCGCCATCATCCAGCGTACCCACACCAGACCTAGTCCCAAGTTTATCCACAATGGCTTCTCTCTTATCATCCAACTCCAGCATGAGCATATGTGACATACGCAACTGACCTCAGCCCGTGCTATCACTTGTGTACATACGTTTCGCCCACGATAAGACGTTGAGGGGCACTACTGTTTATACCATCATACTCGCTCGTCCGCCCGCCTAGCATCTCCTGAAGAGAGCACCGAACTACTCACCTGCCATTGCGCTTTGTTGTGCTGCTAATCACGTCAAAACTGCTACCATGGACACTACCGAAAGCGACTCTTCTGTCCCCGTAGCCGGTGACTCGGTCTTTAGTATTTCACGACCGTCATCTGCCTCTTCGATCCGCCCTGCCGACACGCCGAAAGACCTCCCCGCGGGCGCCCCCGTATCTCACCTATTCCAGGTTCGACACACACCGACCGCCGGCCGTGCCGTTTTCGCTACCCAAGACATCCCCGAAGGCACACTTGTATGGCAGTCAACGGATCTTACACTGTGCGTGTTGCTACGCGAGTATAGACGTGAGGTGTGCGGGCAATGTTTTGGGTACGACTATGGACGAGATCTGAGCATACGAGACAAGACAGTGGGGTTTGCTTTCTGCTCGGAAGCGTGTCAAAAAACGTGGCAGGAGGAGCAGGGGGAGATTGGGATCCAGACTTGGACTGCTGTTGAGAATCTGATCCGAAAGAGGAGCAAAGAAGATAGTGACATGGTGGACGTTGACATGCCGCGGCCCAAGAAAAAAGACATTAGCAAAGCTTGGGATAGTGTGGCTGGGCAGGCGGAGTTGATAAGGAGTGCAAGGGAAGCGGAGCAAGCGGATGGTGTGGACGGCCAAGCTGCGGTGGCCATTTCGAAGCAGCACAAAAAGGCTGTTTCCAAGGCGCTACAGGGACGTATTACCCCCGACGTGATGAGTTTCTGTGTCAGTGGTATCTTGTGGCGCCACCATCATCCTGAGCAGTGGGAGCGATTAGAGGCGCTTGCAAACGACAACACGCCGTACCACAGTTCTGATGATCTGGATGCTTTCACACGGGCCTACCTGCACTTGCTTGCGATTCTGCCCGTGGAGCTCCTCCCACTGGTGACTGCGGAAACGCTTCTCACGCTGTCGAAGCGCGACTCGCACAATTCGTTTGGCATTCGCTCGCTCGAGGACGAAGGGTCAGAGTTCTTCGGCTATGGATGCTGGCCGGCTGCAAGCTACTTCAATCACTCGTGCGGGCCGAACATTGAGAAGAAGCGGGAGGGGAGGATATGGTATTTCAGGGCGGGAAGAGAGATTGAAAAGGGACAGGAGCTGTGCATTACGTATTTGAGTGGAGAGGAGAGGAAGCTGAGTCGCGGGCAGAGGATGCTGAGGCTGAGTAAGACGTGGGGATTTGATTGTGGATGCGAGAGATGCGAGGCGTTGTAGAATGGATGGCCGTAGTGTGCAGTAGCGATTGGTAAGGCATATCGTTTGCATCAACAGTTGGGGTGAGCATGTTGCCAAGAGCGACATGGGCTGAGGCTGTGGTGGTTGTGGTGCGGCCATTGGCTGGCTAGGAAGGGCCGGCATCACAGGCAATGGGCCGGTAGCTGTCAGGTGGAGAGCAGAGCAAATGGTAGCAGTAGTGTATTATTGATGATTACAGACCCCGTGCGCGAAGGAGCTTGCTGGAGACCCCTCGTCGACTAATGGGACAGCGGAAGCCGGATCGGGCATCGGGCCGAAAGTATATGCGCGTGAGGAACAGCCCAAGGGCACATCTGCATCTTCCGGGCCGACACATGGGCTGCACATGGCGGGCATGCTTGTAGTGTAGGTACTTGGAGGCCAACCTGTCGTGCGAGTTACGCCACAGGCGTCAAAGGATGTTTGTGTGCAGAGGCGAGGGCGCAAGGCGAGTGATTGACGTCTTCTGAGGCGGTTCCCACTAGGCAGTGACGTAAGAGATCCGCCGCACTAAATGGACCCTGCAGACGGACTAGGACCGTTGGGTTGCGAGCAGAGAGTCCAAAGGAATTAATCCATCGGGGGAGGGGGAGGGGGGGCGTCGAGCAGAGACGGCGGGAGATTGCGTCCCCAGCAGACGGACAGGCAGCGGGCAAGGGCAGGGGGTGGGCTTTTTCATGGGCTCTGCCTTGATTGTACATGCATGTGGCCGTTGGGGCCCATTGGCATGGTCGGATTGGCATGCTAAGAGAGCGTCTTCTCTTCCAAGGCCTGTCTGAGGGCTGCATGCAGTGTGGCGTAGGCCGCCCCGTGCCTAGCGAGCTTTGTGAGCCTCTAGTTGACGGATCCGCTCAACCTCGCGGCATGCCATGGAGCTGAGAGAGGGCTGCCGGCCATTCCGCGGTGCGCCGCTATGGCAAGAGTGCATTCGCGCGGAGGTAGCGTGTGTGGTGAAGAAGAAATATCAAGTCGTTGCCCACATGCTACATAGAGCTTATTAGAAGCACCGTCGCAGCCGCCAAACTTCCTCTTGTTCCATCCGATTGATTGCCGCCTGCCTGCCTGCCCGTGAGCGGCCAAAAAACTGCAGTCTGACGAAACCAGATAGCCCCGCGCAAACCACTACCACACTCCCACTACTGCCTGCGACTGCCCATCATCAACACCTGCTATACACCCTACTAGCCCTACACCCACCCTAGAGCACTGTACAGCACTGCACTCTACTCTACTCTACTCTAGCATCAGCCGCACCCCCCCCCAAGGCCACATCACACCAAGCACAGCCCGTTCTGTCCACGTCCGACGGCAAACCCTTGCTCGCTCTGGGCTAGCCACAGCAAGCACCACCAGCACCACCACACCCTGCGACGTCTTTGACGCGGCACGCCAAAATATCCAGACGAGCGTCATACCTCCACCCTGACCACTACTGCTGCTACCAAACGCGGCGTCACTGTACCGTACTCATACAGTATTGGCTTTGGTGGAGAACAGCCACGCCCACATCGAGATCCAGAGCTGCCCTTCCCCGCGAAGCACATGCAATTCCAGTCCACGCCCAGCTCTCCACGGAGCGGGCGCAAGAAGATGAGCTTGCCAGTAATTGAGGTGAGACGACTTGTTTTTTTTGGTCTCCCTGTTTTTTTTTTCTTCTCTTGCTGTTCTCCCGCCCATCTTGCATCCTGTCCCCATGTTTTTCCTCTTCGACTGCCGCAGTGGCACACACGCCCACCCACGCACCAGTCAGGGGCGCGACGGGCACAATAACGCCCCATGGCCGCCTCAGGGCTGGCGCGCGTGGTTGCAGCTTGTTTGGCGATGATGTAGCCCGCATCGTCATCTGGCGCACGGACGCGTTATGACGCATGTCGCTCCTACTCTCCTGCTCAGGCCTCACCTCACGCCTTCCCTCGCTCGTGCACGCCTTTCTCTTCAACCACCACCACCACCTTTCCCATTGTCTTTTTTTCCCATTTTCTCCACCACCAGTCCACTGCCGTGACACTACCGTCCCGTTGCATTCTTCCCCTTCTCCTTCTTTTGCTGCTACTGCTGTTGCTGCTACACCCGGCTATACTCGGTCGTATCAAGCCCATCTCTGCCTATATCCGTCTCCCAGCCCAAGCGACCCCGCCATCCCCAGCGGCTTTGTAATTCACTCCTGTCCACGCACACGCACACTAAACATGGCCGCCATACAGAATTTTAAGAACTTCCTGCGCCATGGCAAACAGGCCCGCCACAACGCTGAGCCCACGACAAATGTATCCAATGTCCATGCCCAGTCGCAACATCAACGCTACAACCAGGCTCCCGAGCCCGCACATCATGGCATCTCGGAGCCCGTAATGGACCACAAGCCCCTTCAAAACAACCCTGCTCCCCATGGCGACTACTCGGTCGGCGCTGGCGCTGGCGACAACCGTCACATTGCCGCTCAAGCAGGCGACGCCGCTGCTCGTGCCGTTGCCGACAACCAGAAGAAGCAGGCTGCCGCAAAGGGCGCCGGTGTTGACCCGTCTGTACTCGAGCGCATTGTTGCAGAGGAACGCGAGGCAAAGGGCAAGCTGCCCAGATACCCTGGCCTCGAGCGCTGGACACTGCTCGAGAAGATGGGTGACGGTGCCTTCAGTAACGTCTACCGCGCACGAGACAACACTGGCCAATGGGACGAAGTCGC